TTTAACTGATATCGGCTCATGATCAGTCGTGCAGTCAGTTAACTGCCTGCTAACCAACAAATCATAATTCTGTTTTTACTCCGTTAGCCACGTGTTTCGTAATGAACATTTCAGGGTAGCTATTTTCAATTAACATATCATATATATCCCTGAGTTCGTCTTCAGCAGCGTCTTCGTGACAGATAACTCTGACCCTATAGATAAGGGTGCTTACCAGATCTCTTTTACGCTAAAGAAGGACAAAACTGTGAAAACATGTACATTAACCTGTCCAGGTACTTTTATTATGCAAACTCTTTTTGATACTACCGTTTGGACTTGATATCAGTAGAAAGTCAAAACAAGTGTGAGGACAAATACTCGCCGAAGACATTGGCTAGGGGTCGCGCTATGTCGTGAATTGGCAGAAGTTAGAATTCATGGACCATTGGATTGGGTCCCAGTGGCTTAATGGTATACGAGCTCGCCTTGTAACCAGAAGGTCCTGTGTTCGAACCCCAGTGGGTGCGTACTGTGAAGAGTCCCAAACTAGGACGAAACAGCTGTCCAGTACTCCCAGGTTTTCCAGTGGTTCTCTAACTAATGTCAGCTCATGATGAAAATCCTGTAACCAAGTAATTTTACTTTGGAATTTGTCTTCCTTCACACATGGATTTCATAGCTGAATGTACTTCAAAGAATTTAGATATTATTGCGTACCTGTTCAAATTATTTTCACAATGAATGAATATTTCATCCATACACCGGCAATGGATAACACTGAATCAATAAGATCAATAAATTACAGTTCAAAAGCATCAGTACAACATTAAATTTAATTTCATACATTTGGTTCCCTTGATAAATTTGGATAGAGAAAGAAAGACCAGATTTGCAGTATAAATATGATATCATCATTCTATTTCACAGGTTCTCATCAGCTGCAGACCACTACCTGAAGTTACAATGGTTATAAATAATAGCATTTCATGCTTCAATGTTTGAAAGGTAATAAGGAAAAATTACAAGATGAACGCATCCTGAATATAAGTATTACAATTTTTAGTTTAAGTTACCATCAATTTGTATGCTATCAAACTATGAAAAAAGGGGGTGCGACGAAACAACTGCCTAGTACTCCCAACTGGTCTTCAATGGTTCTCTAACTTAAACCTAAGCTTCCTTCTACTAAAAGGATGATAGTCAATCTCAAACTGCCTCGAATTCAACCTCAATAACCTCTGTTTCCAACTCAAAAGGGTAATTATTCACCAGCTTAGTAAGTTGCGGTAGTCAATTCTTGTGCAGTGGGTGTCATAGACACAGGTGACATTATCACTTATTGTCACATAGATATATCCAAATGACGCGTCCTGAATGGGACAAAACACATGTCCCACACTTAACTACCATCCATGGAATATCAAATAACAGATACATAAAAGATACATCTAGTCTGCAAGGTGGTATAGCGGTAAGGACGCTCGCCGACAATGCACATGGTCCGGGGCTCGACCCCCGGCCGACGCACTCCATTACCTCGCTAAGCCATATATGATGCTGGTGAAGAGGAAAGGTTGGGCATGAGGCTAGCAACCCCATCCTGTAAAATAAGCACTGGTACAGAAACTTCAAGCTACAAGCTTGGAGCCCTATGTTCCACTGGGAACGTGAAGGAAAAAAAGTGGTATACTAATAAACTCCAAACCTTTTTGCTCTGCTAAGACCGAATCAGTGGGAAATTCAAAAGTCTCCATCATTTTATTTTTTTTAATGTTCTTCAACTGTCATTATGATATCGATTTTATTGCTTATAATTCGTTCTATTCAATAGACTTGTATGTTGTGAATAAAGAGAAAGCAAAGCCCTGAGATGATATCAAAATATTCCTAAACCTCTTATTTTTAAGGTTCTTGGAAAGAAGTGAATACAAGCTGAGCGACAGAAATGTAGAAACCGACAGAATCTGTGGAAGAACTTGTCGAAAGCAATATCCCATACTGAAAAAAACCCATTATTTGGATCTGTCCAGTATGTATCTAAGTTTCTCACAAAAACAAAAGGTTGAGTGTATTAAAAGTATGGTAGCTCAGGTACAGAATAGTGGCTACTTCAACAAAATAACCTTGCACAACCAATCAGAATCAATATCTGTCAAAGGTTACAACTTAGATATCTGATACTCTGATTGGCTACTATTCAAGTTATTCCATTGGCTGTTCAAGTTCATCGGCTGGTTATTGGTTATGCGTGGTAATCTTTATCTCTCTGAGAATATTGTCATATGGATCCAGGCAAATCTAGAGAATTGATCCAGGATTGTACTGCTAAACATAATAGTACAAATAATCTGACGTATGTTGTGTAGGGACTTGTGGAAATGTTTAAAACATGCCCCCCACCTACACACCGGTGTTCCAAATGATAACTGAATTCAGTACTTATAACTTCCCAGATTTTACCATTAGCCATGGTATAGAATTTAGTAGGAATGAGGGTTCGTTCAAGACGTTTACATACAGGAAAAAAGCTAATTCAAAGTTCTGGCCACAGTAAATGAATCATTGAAAACCAGGGGTTACTGGACAGCTATTTCCTCCTACTTTGGAATATTTCATCTGTACACACTCACTGGAATTCAAACCCCAACAAAATAACTCTTGAAAAGTAATCTGATGCCTGCTAGTGACGAAGTTGCCTGAAGTTCCAATGAGAAGTCGTGACCAACGGGGTCCACCATGTCGGGCATGGGGATAAATACCTGCCAATCACATTGGCTGACGATGGTGTTAAAAATCATGAACTGACACAAGTTAGAATTCATGGGCCATTGAGTTCTGTCTGTTCCAGTGCCTCAATGGTATACTAGCTCGTCTTGTAACCTGAACGTCCTAGGTTCGATCCCCGATGAGGTCATAGGGTGTGTACTACTGCAAAGGATGTTCTAAGCTGGGACGAAACAGCTGTCCAGTATTCTCTGCTGGTTTCAGTTTTTCTCTCTCTCTGACTTGAAATCAACCAAATACCTGAAAAGTCAGTACTAGATAGACAAAGTTATTGTGAAAAAATTAAAAAACGGGAATGATTATTAATTGCAGTACTAAATGTATTAATAATATTCTGCTGAATAATAATAATAATTTACTTTATTCCAAAAACAGTACTTATAATACAGAATGGAATTCTCAGTATTTGTCACAATATTGTATCTGATTTACTCAAAATATATATAAAATTAAAACAAAATTAATCGGAGGAATTTGTCCACATTTACGACATAATTATTAGATATAATAATAATAATAATAATAACAGTGAGTTTGTTTCAAACGGTATTGTCGATTCAGTTTGGGAACTTTAGCATGTTATAGATTATTGGGTCTAATGTTCTGTTGATATGGTATAGTGAGGGGAAATACAAAATTAACAGTCATAATACAGCTTAAATTATGTCCACACTTATGAAAAAAAATAAACAAAACGAAAAAATTGAGAGGATTATAAATATAAGAAATACAATAACAATAAAGTATGATGTTTTAAGGGTGAAGGAAATGGTTTATTTAGTGGTGCTAAGAAGGTTAGTTAGTTCATGTCTGACACTATTTTCATCACATAAAGTACGTGCTAAATATGGTATAGTGGAATTTTTATACTTAGACGTACGTGCATAAATTCTTCTGAAAAGACTTCTTGTTTTACCTGAGGAGACACAAGGTTGGAGCTGCGGGTAGAGTGGGTGCTCAGAGTCTGACAAAATTCCTTTAGCGAATTTGTTGTATGACATCAAGTGCCTATCAGTGACAATGTCAACGATATGGCCCAATTGGATACCACTCGTCCTACTGACAGTCTTCAGAGTTCTACGAAGTATGACATAGTCCTTTTTAAGCAATCCAGGAAAGAATAAGCAAGGGTGAACAGTAAAGAAGAATAGGTAAAATACACGAGTTGACAAACTGTAAGAGGAGTGTTTGGGTTATGACTGAGTGCCTTAACTTCTTAGTGTAAAAAGTCAAACGAAATATTCTTTAAGAAATCGCCAAGACATGAGAAGACGAGGGTAGGTCAGAAGAGAGAATTAATCCAAGATACTTTACTTCAGACTTGTTTTCTATATCAGTATCATCGATTTCGCAAGGGTCATAGGAACCAACGGCTTCATTTAACTTTCGTTTACATCGGAAACTGAAATTAACAGTCTGACATTTGGAAGGATTAAGTTTAAGGCCGTTAGACAAAGACCATTTGCTAATTCCTGATAGAAAGTTGTTAATCTTAATGCAGTCAAGCTGAGAGTTAACAGACATTGAAATAGTTAGATCATCGGCATACTTAACAAAGTTCATTTCATCGGAGTGAGGCAAGTCATGCAAGAAGAAAGAAAACAGAAAAGGAGAAATGACAGAAATGCCTTGAGGGACACCAGTCTCAGTAAGCAATGAAGTGGACGACTTTCCCTGACTGACATACAGTGTATTGCTTTCTTCCTGAGAAATAAGAATGCAGCCATTTGACAACCCAACAGTCAGTTTGAGTTTCAGCAAGCTTGTTTAGTTAAATGTCCCTAGGTACTGAGTCGAAAGCAGATGTATAATCATTCCATGTGATGAGTAACTGTTGATGGTGATATAACGATGTGGAATAAAATGACGCTTTATTTACTACTCAGAACACACACAGATCTCATCTTTCCTGCTCTATTTGAAAAAAAAAACAATTGCTAGATGAGTCCAACAGACACTTGCGTACCAGCATGTGTATGCAGGACGTGTAGCTGATAGTAGATAAACAGACACACACACACACCAGTACACATGCACTACAAACACACTTCATGTTATTTGAATTTTGATTGGTTAATTATTACATTAAAGAATGATATAATTTATAGGATGTGTGTGTGTATATAGACATGTATGATGTGTGAAATAACAAGCAGACAATATATATGTGTGTATGTGCGTCTAGCAATATACATACCAGTCCGTCTATCAGATTCTTATTGTCCATATTTTTACTTGACCTTTTTGTGATGATGTATGTTGTCGTGTAGGCTAATGCGCATATATGTATGCAGTTGTCTAAGCCATCTATCTCACACAGACACACACGTATATATAGCCATATACACCCACGCACACATCGAAATGCACACATCTACATGTCTGCAGCAAAATCATCAGAATCAACCATACACAATATCCTTTTTTTTAGACAGAAAATTCTTCTGCAAATAACACACCAGCACATACACATACAATAAATCACATCACATAACATCCGTGTTAGCTAGAGAGTGAGTGTCATTAAGTAAGAGATCCTGTGGGGAATTTGACACACTTTGAATGAACAGAAAGTTACCAGATAATACGGAATAACACAGAGGAATTAATTAATTAATCAATTAATTAAATAATTTATCAAAAGACGCTTATTTTCACATATCCCACAAAAACATAGAGGATTATTAAAAGAGAGAATTTAAACAAACCGTGTTGGTATAAGAGATATAAATCAAGTTAAAACAAATTCAAATATTATTATTACTATTATATACATATACATTATGGGATCTAAACTGTCTTGTATGTCTAAACAGAAGGAGGTGAGTTACCCCCCCCCCCCTAACCCCCGACAACACCATCGATTTGTTTATTAATTTATTCTGTGAAATAATTAATTCCCGCTTTGAGATAAACAACATATGACCATTTTTATTGTATCATTTTGTGTACCTAGAATGATGACATAACTGATGCAGCTGAGTCATGCAAATCAATTTTTTGTGCAGTTGAGTTGATTGAAATGCCATTTCAAAACTGAAATTAATTAAACGGTAATCAATGCTCAATTATTTTGATTAGTCACTAGGTAGAGAGAGACCAATGTCATGAGTCCAGTGCTTGGTTTGGTGTAGACTGAATTCTATCAGTCTAGTTCGAAATGTGGTTACTATGTCTATGTTAGGTGTCTCACCATCGGGGTGCACTTTTTAATTGATATTAGATGGTTGGATGATAGTGTCCTGAAAGCCCTGGACCTAAGTTTCGTGCTTACTGGCAGTCGACTTGCTCAATTCACAAAATTAATCTACGATTTGCAATTTACGCACAGTTCGCGGTGAAGTTTTTCACCTCAGTTACCTTTGTAAAAAAAATTACTTGATACCATAAATGGCAATCAAGAAAGTAGGCATAAAGGCACTACGCTATATTTTATTGATTAATTGATTAATAATGTGAAGAGTTGGATGCTACTCATATCAATCGAATTCCCCAGGTTCTATTTTTTTATTAGTGGTTTAGTAGTAGAATGCTGGAAGACCATACTCAAGTGGTCAGGGTTCCAATACTGCCTGACTAACTCCTAAGCTTCGCTTAGCCGACAGTAAGTTCGGAAAAGAGGGAAGATTGGGTATGAAGCCAGAAACTCCACCCCTAAGAAAAAACAACAAAAATCTACTAAAAGTTCAGAATCTGAGGTCTTATCTTTCACCTGCGACATAACGTAATATAAGAAAGGTAAAATGTTAGACAGTGGTATTTTAGATTAAAAACTCAGTGTAGTGTGAATCAGTAGAATTTGAGAAATCTCAGAGTTCAACGTCAGATATAAGGTGTCTAAATTCCATCCCGAATGTTGTATGACTGTACTGTGTTGAATAGTACTATCAATTCCACAGTAATTTCCCATTTGAATTCTAGTATATTGTTGCGGTGAATTTCCCCAAAACTCGTCGTTTTTACCTCTAAAACTTATATTCAAGCAGTCTGTCTGCGTCGGTGGCATAGCGGTTAGGACGCTCGCCGACCACGCCTGTGGCCCGGGGTTCGATCCCCTGCAGACGCACACCTGATATCTCTGGTCGGCCTGCTAAATTTGGGCTACCGATATCACATGCTGAAAGTTCCATACTTGTACCAAAAATACTGTGTGAAATCAAGCTATAATAAAAATTAAAAAATAAATAAATAATGTTTCAACGACATTATTTACTGTCAACTAATTTTTGTCAATTTAATTTGATGTTATTTTCAATCAATGAATCACCAACCCTACCCTCACTCTTCATTTATAAAACTACCAGTTGATTCACGCCAAACTGACCTATATTAATAAACACAGAGGTTTGATTGTTTTACAGGATTCATCATGAGCTGACATGAATTGGAAAACCATTGAAAAACCTGGGAGTACTAGACAGCTGTTTAGTCCACCTTCTTTGGGACTCTTCATTAGTACGCACCCATCGGCCTTCAAATTTGGAGTTCTGATGAGAATTTGTAACCAGTGGGGTTTACCAAGTCAGACAAAAGGGCAGTTACTTCCCCGTGACACTAGCTGGCGGTTGCGCCAAATATATATATTTTCAAGTATTGGTTTTGAAGGGATTTTGTTTGATTGCATGGAGGATTTCATCATGAGCTGACATCAGTTAGAGAACCACTGGAAAACCTGGGAGTACTAGACAGCTGTTTCGTCAGCCTAGTTTGGGACTCTTCATCAGTACGCACCCACCGGGATTCGAAACCAGGATCCCTACAAAACCAATACTTGAAAACTAATCTGATGCTCACTAGTGACTGGCCCTATTCAGGCAGTTAACCTGGGGTTCTAGTGGGAAGCCGTGACCAGTAGGGTACAGCAGGTTGAAGATGAGGCAGTAACTCATCGAAGAAGACATTGCGAAATGATCGCGCTATGTCGTGAATTGGCAGAAGTTAGAATTCAAGGACCATTGAATCAGGTCTCAGTGGCTCAATGGTCTACGAGCTCACCTTGTAACCAGAAGGTCCTGGGTTCGAATCCCGTGGGTGCGTACTGGTGAAGAGTCCCAAGCACTAGGACGAAACAGCTGACCAGTACCCTTAGATTCTCCAGTGGTTCTCTAACTGATGTCAGCTCATGATGAAATCCTCCATGCAATCAAATATATATATATATATCACGAATTGGCAGAAGTTGGAATTCATGGACCCTTTGGATTGGCTCCTAGTGACTGAATAGTCTACGAGCTCGCTTTGTAATCGGAAGGTCCTTAGTTCAAACTACGGTGGGGTGGTACTGCTGAAGAGTCAGGAAATAGTACGAAACAGCTAGCTATTCAGTATTTCTTGGTGGTTTTCCAATGGTTCTCTAAATGATGTCAGCTCATGATAGATCCTGTCAATACAGATCGATTAAACTACACTCGACATGGTTTGTTGAGACAGTTTTGGGATTCAGACTTATCAGTCATTCAACTCCAACAGGAACGAGTCGGCTTGAGTAAATATTTATATACCATTAATCAATGATTTAGTTAAAAACAGTATATAATTTAACACTGGTTGAGAAACTTTTTGACTATCCCTGGTGTAGTGCAGAAAAAAAAGATTTTTATTGGAAATCAATTGTCAGGAAGTCGCATTTTATTATGAAGATATGACTCATCATCTTCAGCACTTAATTTTCAGTTATACGGTACCAGATTCTAATCCCAACTCATTAACTTGAGCCTGGAGCTTCACACAATAGGTGCAACTAACTTCTAGCAACTATCATGAACTAACTCTTCGTGGTATTCTCAAACATGGTGAGTAGTCATATATCACTCATACTGATGTTTAAGCTGTTCTAGTTAAATCAGAATGGTGTAAACTCAAAATTATCAAATAGTTGGCATCACAAACTTTATTGGGAGGTAGAGTTACTTTTAAAAACGAGACAATTATGTTGAGCACGTCTGATTATGGAAAAGCAAGACAAGCTTTCACTACTCTCAAGTCTGTGTGGAGGTCAACAGCACTCAGAATCAAAAATATGATCCGGATTTTCAACTCCAATGTGAAGTCAGTCAGTGCTACTATACGGATCAGAGACTTGCACTGCGCGTCATAAAGAGCATCTCAAACAAACTACAGACCTTCATTAACAGTTGTCTTCGCTCAATACTCAAGCTCAGATGGCTGGCCAGAAAAGATCAGCAACAGAGATCTCTGGGAATGAGCGAACCAACCCAGCAGGAACCGATTGTGAAACAAATAGGCAGGAAGAAATGGAGATGGATTGGCTGGCCATACTCTGAGGAAACAAACCATCAAGTGAGATCACTAGACAAGCCATCGCTTGAGTGGAACCCGAAAGGGAAGCGGCGAGTTGGTCGTCAGTTCAAGGGTGACTTGGAGGAGGTCATGTGAAGAGGAGATGAAAACGTGTGGGCAGACATGGAGCCAGGTGAAGACTCTAGCAGACAACCGAACTCAATGGAGACGCACGGCTGAAGCCCTATGTTCCTCTAGGAATTAAAGGAAACAATAATAATACGTCTGATTATGTGCGTCGGTAGCACAGCGGTAGAGTGTTCGCATACCACACAGGTAGTGCAAGGTTCCGTCCCCGGCTGACGCACACCTACACCTCATAAAGCCAGCAATAAGACTGGTAAAGAGGGAAGGTTTGGTATGGGGGTAGCAACCCCACCCCGCGAAAATATAATACCATTGCTACCGAAACTTCACTGCTGCAACTTGAAGCTTTATGTTCCACTGGGTGGCATTAAATTTCCTCCTGGTAATTCCTTCCAACTAGCAGGCACCATTCCAAAGTTCACTTTGATGAGGAATCATTTAGACTGATTACTTCATTACAGACTTTACTAATAGTCACTGCTGAACACTAAACATATTATTATTGTTTCCTTTAATTCCTAGAGGAACATAGGGCTTCAGCCGCACGTCTCCATTGAGTTCGGTTCTCCGCCAACGTTTTCACCTGGTTCCACGTCTGCCCACATGCTTTCATCTCCTCTTCACATGACCTCCTCCATGTCACCCTCACACTGACGACCATATCGCCGCTTCCCATTCTGTTGGGTCCCATTCGAGTGATGGCCTGACGTGTGATGTCAGAGTATGGCCAATCAAACTCCATTTCTTCCTACATATTTGTTGCACAATCGGTTCCTGCTGGGTTAGTTCGTTCCCAAAGATCCCTGTTACTGATCTTTTCTGGCCGGCCATCTGATCTTGAGTATTGAGCGAAGACAACTGTTAATGAAGGTCTGTAGTTTGTTTGAGATGCTCTTTATGACGCGCAGTGCAAGTCTCTGATCCGTATAGTAGCACTGACTGACTTCACATTGGAGTTGAAAATCCGGATCATATTTTTGATTCTGAGTGCTGTTGACCTCCACACAGACTTGAGAGTAGTGAAAGCTTGTCTTGCTTTCCCGATCCTCTGCTTTGATATTCTCATCAGTTCCGTCCGCCTGTAGTTGAAACGATGCTTCCCAGGTCGGTAGGTAAAGGAGATTGCTTCTTTCAGATTTCTTCCACTTATGCTGATTGTTGTCTTTTGTTGTTGTTGCTGTTGCTGCTGGCCAGGTTTATGTACAGAAAAGTTTTAACATGCTTGCAAATTTTTCATGGTGTCATTTGACAGAAGGTTCCACAATTAGTGAACAGTGTGCTGAGAAAATTACGCTTATATAGTTTTTACACAGGCAGTTCAAGTTTAAACAAAATAAATGTATGCATACAATGGTAAAGGGGTTACGTAATAAAGACGAGAGATGTGCAAGATGAAGGGTGACTAATAAATGAGGTAACAATGTACTGTGTGTCA